GATTGCAGAACGAACATGTGGAATGATATTGCGCTGGAGTTCAACTATAACATTGTTGGATAATATACCTAATGGGTAAACGCGGCACAGGCTTCCAGAAACATGCTACAAGCTTATACATAGCAGAATTGGATTCAGAAACCTTTACAGTATAATGTGTTTAGAAAACGTTCTGCCACAAACAAAAAAATGCTGAATGTGTGAACATACCACCATTTCACGCAGTTGTAAATGGCAGAAATCGAATCTGCGCCCCCCAAAAAACAAATATTGACACAAAAACGCGACTACGTAAACGGAATCAGCACATCGTCCCATTTTCCCGTCCGACATGAAAGCCATATTGGAAATATGCTAAATATGTGAACATGTGGTAATTTTACACAGTTGTAAACGACAAAAATTGAATCTGCGCCCCAAAAAATATATCCTGGTACCATAGACGACTACTTATTCAATATCCGCACATCGTTCCATCTTCACGTCAAAAAAATGGCCGTCATATTGTAAATGTGCAAAATAATCATTTTACACAGTTGTTACTAACCGAAATGGCTTCTGTGCCCTTGAAAACATATATATTGACACCAACGACGACTACTTAATCAATATCAGCACATGGTCCTATTTCCCCGCCAAAAATGACCGCCATCTTGAAAATATGCTAAGTATATGAACATGTGTCATTTTACAAGGTTGTAAATGTCAGGAATGGAATCTGTGGCCATGAAAACATATATATTGACACCAAGCACTACTACCTTATCGAAATCAGCACATCGTCCGATTTTCCGCCAAATATGGTCGCCATTTTGGAAATATCATACTGAAATGATGGAAAACAATCTGAAGTATAGTCATGAACCCTGCCAATATTAATACATTGCCAAATCACAGTTGATATGTCGATAACATTATAAATAAGGTGAAAATAATAAAATAAGTTGGAATATTATCGCAAAATGGCTACCCTCAAATAATGGCCTCCCATACTATGAAGACCTACTCAGAAAAAATGTCAACATTGTTTTTTTGTAATCAAACATCAAAACCTACAAAATAAAGCTTATTCCATGATTTCTACCCGACTAGCCGACGGATGGGAATTAGGTAACAAACCGAATCCGACTATTCATTTCATTTCATTTGGTTGATTGGAATTCAGAGCCACCCAAGTTAGACAATATTAGACCCGTTCATAATTTTCAAAATTTGCTCAGGGAGCCCAACCCCCCCCCCCCCCCCCAACCCCCGAGAACATTTCGGTATTTCATTTGTGTTCCCCTCTTTCATAATCGGAAATGTGATTGCAAAATCACATAAATATGATCACATAGACCTCTTTCAAATTCATGGCGTGGAATAGCAGGAAAACGCATTTGCGGCCGTCTAAATTTCAAAATTTTCTGTGTGAGACAAACGCACACCAACGGTACGCTTCGCGCCTGCGCCCGTTCATAATTTTCAGGGAGCATTCCCCCCCCCCCCCCGGAGAATATTCCGGTATTTCGTCTGTGTCACCCTCCTTCAAAATCGAAAATTTGATTGCAAAATCACATAAATATGATCACATAGACCTCTTTCAAATTCATGGCGTGGAATAGCAAGAAAACGCATATGCGGCCGTCTAATTTTCAAAATTTTCTGTGTGAGACAAACGACACCAACGGTACGCTTCGCGCCTGCGGCACCCTTTGAGAACATCGCCGACGTCTGTAAACGTGAATTTTTTCGGACATTTCAGGTCTGCCCCCTAACATTCATCGGGCTCGTACGCCTATGGGTTTGGCTTTGTCACCGCGGTTATATTCTCCCACAATCTGATTAAAACACAGATCCTATTTCGTTTCGTTTTTTATAGCTCAAAATTTCGTTTTACTTGTCTTTACTACACTAGAATCTGGAAGAGTTGTTATCATTGACGTGTTCTGGCTGATGTGAGGGATTAACCAATGAAACGGTCTGCTACGGCGAGCTTTTAGCGTGTGGTGCATGGAACTAAAAACGTCAACGTTGATTGATTAATCAATGTCTGACGTCATAGGTCAAAAGCCGCTCGAATGACCTCTGACGCGACCTGTCACTACAACTGGTCAGATCTTTATGTAGTGTAGGCCATCGAAAGTATAAAATAAACGAAACGAAATATAGATCTGTATTTTAATCAAATTGATTCTCCCATCTAAAATGCACGAAACAGTTTTTAAATAGGTAGGCTTATAATTCAGAAGGCTGTGATTTGAATGTGATGAATGTTCATAAAACATGTTTATTTGACTATCTACAATGATAACCCACAAAATCCAATGTTGTTAACAATTTTTGTTGATTGCGTCCCTTATCAAGGACTAGAAATGGTTCCATTACTGATGTCTTCCGTCTTGCCCCAGTCACAGTAGTGGATCGTTCTAAGGAATTTCTTTCAGCCGGTTTTGTCATGACTTGATGACAAAAATGTTACTGGCCTATAACTCCCTTAATTTCCAATTTTACCCTGGCCCCAAACTGTACTGCACATACCTTATCATAATAATAATAAACCAATTCCCATTGAAATAAAAGTGAAACCTTACCATATAAATTCATAAATTTAATAAAATCCATCGGCTACGTGAAATTTCTATCCATTTTTAAAATGGTCGCCGAACCAGAATTAGCACATGCACGTGATTTTACGTCACCTCGAAAATACAGAAAAACTGTGCGGTAAGATAAGATTAAGATTTCAGTGTTCCACTCTTCACTATTTGTAACACAATACTTATTTCCATGCATGCGAACTCTGATGATATGTGTTGAAAATTTGCATTTTAACCTATTTTTACTTGCGCAAAGCCTCGAATAGTGTATCAATTGTAGTGTCGCACAAGAAAGGACACAGCTACAATATTGAAGCTGATCAAGGACATACTCCAAAAGTTGTTTGAAATATTTAGATAAAAAATATTTTCTATTTAGTGTAAATCGGTATATAAATTGAGTAAAATGCGCCATTCTGCCGGGACCAGTGTACGCTACACCGTCTTATGTAAACAATGCACGCACCATCGTGTCTATGGTCGACGCCATATGATGTGACGTCACACGTAGAAGGCATACTTGAACTTATAAAGGTTATAAGGGGGCTTTCGCAATATATCTGTGAAACAGATTGATAATTTATGTGGAACACATATTACAGCATGGTTTCATATTTGTATTTTAATGAGCATTATCCAGTATTTGACAGACGATAAGGGTGTGGTGGGGAGGTTGAGGTTTTATGCCCGCGCTTTGGACACTATAAGTGTCTCGGTAGGTTACATATGTACTTGACAATTAAAGAGCAGGGTGGTCTGTCGAACCTCGTTTGGAGTATTCGTTTGTAGGCCTAGTTAAATTCACATTTGCCACTTGCCAGCAAATTGTTTTGGGTTTTTTAATTGAATGCATATTGTGTGTATTATTATTTTCATATTTTCACTTCATCCCTTACATATTGTGGCTGATTGGTAGGCCTATCATGTCGTAATATTGTGGTGTTACCCTTCTAAAGGCGACAACCCGACATCACATTTGAACCCGACACCACGACAACCCGACATCACGACATTTTAACCCCACAATACGACATGCCGTAATGTCGCGTAAAATGTCGTGGTGTCGGGTTAAAACGTGATAATGTCGGGTTAAAATGTCGTGATGTCGCGGTGTCGTGATGTCGGATTGTCGGGTTATCGGCCATATTCCTCTCAATACTATGAATTGCGCCTAACATCTGATCCTGGTGTTGGTCAAGAAAGTTCCGCGGGATTTTGCAGCGTGGTTCCTCCCTGTGAGTGCAGGACAAAGGACCTGGCAAAGTACAGTGTCTAGCTGTGTATAGGATGGGACAAAAACAAAAACAACAAAAAAACAAGCCCCTGTGTACACATTGGCATGCACATAAAAGGATCTTTCAGTCCATGGGTATGTATGCCTACCTACGTAATTTAGTGACGATAATTGCATCATGCATTGTCAACTGTCAAATTTCCTTAGCAGGAGCCCGACAAACCCCCTCCTGCAAACATTCCTGGATCCGTCCCTGAAACCCTATTTCATTTCATTTCATTTTCCTACTTTTCTGCACCAATCGAACTATTGACGATAGGCATACGCTATGCAGAGTGCTATGACGGAAATTTTCAATGTTACCGTGGCATTTCGTCGTCGAATTTCAACTGTGACGGATTATTTTATGTGCACGCCAATGTGTACACATGAGCTTGCTTTTTTGTCCCATCTACAAAACTAGCCACTGTTCTTTGCCAGGCCCTCTATCCTGCACTACTGACATGGAGAAACCACACTGCAAAATCCCGGGGAATTTTCTTGACCAACACTAGAATCAGAGTAATCATAGTATAGAGAGGAATATGGCCGGTACCCGACACCACGACAACCCAACCCGACAATAGCCTACGACATTACGATGTCGTGGTGTCGGGTTGCCGTAGTGTCGAGTTAAAATGTTGTGATATCGGGTTGTCGCCTTATGAAGGGCGACACCACGACATGATACTAATCAGCCACCAATAGGCCCGGGACTGTACAGCGCAGTGGACGCTAACGGCTAGCAACCGGATCCATTCACAATCTGATATGTACGTTTGATAAATTGTTTGGGATTTCTGCGTATTGTGCACTGTGTCTTGTCCGTAGATTTGTTTTATTATTATTATTATGTCACATCATAATATGTGTGGTGCGCGCAGTATCCCCCTGCACAAGTTTACTATTATATTAGACTGGTGTTTTTAACACAATAATTTGAATAATTCAGCCGTGATTATAGAGCTGATGTAGGCCTATATAATTACATGTATCACAATTTACAGGTAACGATTTTACAGGTATCGGGCTTCCACGATATGGCACGCGTCTCCAATATTTCCATGGTAACATCATCAATTAACGATGAAGGCGTGCGCGCTCAGACACCTGAATGCAAAGACGTATACGTCATTGATCGCCTGTATTACGTAGGAATTGCCAATATCTTCGATTGTCCAGCAGTTTTAGAATATCTCGTTATTGAATAGGAACGAATGCTTCAACGAAGATGGCTAGTAGTGGAATTGGCAGTGGTGTGGGCGAAGGTTTAAGACAGCGCTGGACACCTGAACTGGACCCAGAATGGGACCCGAATTTGCCTTATGGTGGAAAGGTTTATCTAGCGCGCAAAAAAAAGCGGGACCCTTTTCATGTTAGATCGATTGAGGTGGGTTATTAATACAGATTCTTGTGTGCTTTATTTTTTATTTAACAGAATTAAATACTAAAATAGAGTTACAGTTAATAATTATTATTGTGAAGTGTTCTTATGTCTTTGATCTAAATTGCATTGGTTTGGTTTGGTCGGGCACCTTTCATGATTAATCATGCACTAACCGACTATAAAGACATTTCTTGAGCCAGTACGAGGTCAGTTAACAGGAAACGGAATACTGGCAAGTCAGGGCATGCTGATGCATTGCTTCGAATGGAATTGGCAGTGCTCTATAGTTTTACAATTGATTTTATATTAATTTTTAAATGATGCTTGAATTGGAGTAAAATATTTAAACAACTACAAAAACAACCCATAAATAAAAGCCATTATTGACCTTTGGCTTTAGATAGTTTAAGTTTAAATAATTGAGTAATTCAAGTATTGTTCCTTTTCCAACAATTGAAGAATATTTATTTTAAAAGAGGATAGCATGCACATTTGCACATTTGGAGTTCAGGTGTGAAACAGGTGGTTAATTAATTAATCAATTACATTAATTACATTAACATACACCTACTGGATAATACAATAGACAGGTATAATTAGCCATGTGTTCGAGTACATATGTCTTTGTAAGATCTCTTTCTCTGAAATCAATATTTAGAATTTTCCCCGACATAAGAGAGGAAAAATATTTACCTCTTGTCTTGCCAATAGTTTTGGTCACATGGACTAAAAAATAAAGAAAAGGCGTCTTTGCTAGTTGGTAAAAATAAACTTGATTGGATGTGATTTCACGTACATCCAGTATGTTCAAAACTTCAATTTGGATTATATGCCAAATTGAACCAAATCTGCAAAGATTTCAACTTTGGGCTACTACCAGTAATATAAATAATTTACTTTTTTTCAAAGGGTTCAATGAATGCTCATAGAAATAGCTTTATCTAGGTCAGAGCTTGGATTTTCGATGATTTTATTATTTTGAATACCAGTATGTAATTCAAACTTAATTACTTTAATTTTCTTGTGGGTTTTGTTAAGATCGATGATGCCTTTTAAACTTAGATAATTAAATACACTATAATTATAAAAACATCATATATTTATTTTTACAGATATTTGTGCTTTGTGCCACCATTGCTTTTGCATTTTATGCATATTTCTATTTTGATCATCTTCATTTCAACATTACTCATGCCTATGCTCATCTTGGTTATCCTCAAGCACAGCATCAAGTAGGACAGCGATATCTTCATGGTAAGCAAACTGTTCTCTATCTTTATTTTGATGTGGCGATGTGTGTTGTAAGGGATGCAGTATAAATAAAACCAAAATAAAAGGGTTTTTTTTCATCCTTTAATACCTTAGAAACTACAATATTGTAAAAGTTGAAAACGGTATCTAAAAGAAATATCAGTCCAAAAACTGAGTTAATGTGCCTCTTTTTAATCTGATTGAATTCTCTCCAGGAAATTATCTGATATTTTGATTTTGAATATCTTAAATGTTAAATAATCAATCTGAGTACCTTTTAGCATGGATTAAGTCTTGAAAAATTACATATTGTCCAATAAATGCAAATAATTTTACGTCAACATTTTTTTGTTTTAATGCTTATTAATTAATATGCTATTCAAAAAAAGTAGGGGATATTTGATTTTGGGGGCATAATACTAAAATATGCAAATGACTACGAAAAAAGTCACTATAGAACCTAACAGAAGAAACATTTCCAGTTACATGTGACGCCCAAACGCACCAATAGCTACCGCATGGAATGCAGGTGATGCTTGGGATCATCATGGGGGTCCAACCCAAGATTTGCAAGACTCTGACTTTGAATGTTACAGTCATTGTGGCATTGAATTCCAGGGTGGAAACATCAGTTTAATTGTTTTAGTGACCAGAAAACAAATTTTGATATGTGTCGGCTTACCCAAAATGAAAGGTTACGTGCCCTTGGCATGCTACAGATCGGCACAACACAGGCGGTTGTGGCGCGGACGATGAATGTTTCTCAGTCTGTCATAAGCAGGCTATGGTCCAGATACCGTGATACACAATCTGTACAGGACAGACCACGCTCAAGCCCAGGATCGATTTATCCTTACCTTGGCCTTGAGAAATCGTGTCTTCACAGCAAATCAGATCAGCGCTCGTCTTCAAACAGACACTGGTGTGAGAGTGAGTGGCCAGACGATTCGGAATCGACTGCATAGGGGTCACCTTCGTGCCTGACGTCCTCGCGTGATCCCTTGTTTGAGAGATCATCACATTCAGGCAAGACGTCGTTGGTGTAGGGATCGTCAACACTGGGATAATCGACGCTGGAGCAATGTGATGTTTTCAGATGAGTCAAGGTTCACTGTTGATTTTTTGGACAGACGTAGGAGGGTGTGGCGTCGTCGAAACGAGCGCTTCCAAGACGTTAACGTCATCAGACATGATCGATTTGGGGGTGGTTCTGTTATGGTGTGGGGAGGCATCACTGTTGCTGGAAGAACGGCTTTACATGTTGTTGCAGGGCGTGTTACAGGCCAGTACTACCGGGACAACATCTTGGCAGTCCATGTTGTGCCGTTCGCACGACGTCATGGCCGCCGTTTCATCTTCCAGGATGACAACGCAAGATGTCACAGGACCAGGATCGTTACAGGTTACCTCCAACAACAGAACATCACCACATTACCTTGGCCAGCTCTGAGTCCCGACCTCTCCCTCATCGAGCATGTCTGGGACATGCTTGGACAGAGGTTACGTCAACGTCAACAACGTCCTGCCAATGTCCAAGAACTTGCTGCTGCGTTGCAACAGGAATGGGACAATCTGGACCAAAATGACCTTAGACGTCTCATTAGGAGTATGCCACGTCGGATCAATGCTTGTTTGGCAAACAGAGGAGGATTTACCCGTTACTGACTTGGTTGAGATGCTGTGGTAACTTTGCTGTTTGACCCCGGGTATCATTTTACCCTTATAATGGTCAGTCTGTGCCTTACTTAGTCTAACGATCATTTGGAATAAATCGATGAATGTGAACTTCATTTCATTTTGTCATTTGTTTCTTCGTCAGTTTCATTAGGTGACTTTAATAACACTTAAAAATCAAATATCCCCTACTTTTTTTGAATAGTATAGATTGTGAATAAGTTTAAAATAATTTAATACCGATATGTCATTGAAGGATTGTTCGTAAATTTTCACATATTAGTTTTTCCAGATATTTGTACTCATAGAATTTAGATAAATATTATTTGATACAATTTAATTAATTGTGTGTTTTAGGGAAAGGAGTTGATAAACACGGTGGCAAGGCAATGGAATGGTTCAGGTATTTAAAAACTTTCCTCATTTTTGTCAAACATTAATGAGTAAGAAGCTGGCTTGCTAACCTGGAGGTTCAGGGTTTGATCCTGGTGTTGGCTAAGAAAGTTCATCAGGATTTTCTCGTGTGGTTCCAACTTGTCAGTGGTGCTGGACGGGAAAATAGAGTTCCTGTGGAATTTGATATAAGAATAGGCTGTAGTGCCAGTGTCCAGGCAAAATTACCTGTTTTCACAATGCATGGTGTATGCTCGTCTTCATTAGTCCAGTTGGAGCAGAAGAGTAGGACTTTAAACCCTATTTTATTTCATTTTAAACTTTATTTTTAGTTATTTGTATCTTACAATATGATATTCTGGTTTCTTTTCATGAAACAATAGATTTTTGTCAACAATTATTTAAACTGTCAGTATAATAAGTCTAAAACTCAGTATCTAATATAAATTATTCAATTATTATTATTTTAGGAAAGCAGCTGATCAAGGACATCCCCATGCTGCATTTAATTTAGCTATTGGTCATATGAAAGGTTATAAAACAGATGTAAAAGAAGGGTAAGTTAATATTTATTTGACATAATTTAGGATCACTGCACAACAAAACACAGAAAATAAAGATTAAAGCCTCAGTGCTCCTGAAGACCAATAATTATGTTTCCTTTCTAAAAATTTATCAAAAATGATTTTTAATGCAAATGATGGTCAGAGATCCAATATTTATTTACATTAACATTATATAGTAACATATACCAGTACAATAAAGTATTCTTTTATTTTCATTATTAATTTGTTTTCCAGGGAAGCTCACAAGTTAATTGCCCATGCTGCATCAAAAGGAGTAGTAGAAGCACACAAGGTTTTGAATAATGTTTGCACAAAAGGTGGATGTGATTAAAAAAAACATTAATAATCAGGGTAATGCTACACACAGAATATTGAATATACATGTAGCCTACCATACACATGTATTTTTCAAATTGTGAATTATGCATATATTTAATCGAATTGTTTTGGTATATTATTGCAAATTTCATATTCACGAAATTATTACTGTTATGAAATTGTGTAGATATATTCACATATTTTATTTTTATATATATACATATAGACGTGCAGATGAACTACTCAAATCCATGAAAAATTTTGCATTTCTCTTTAAGTAAGTTTACGGTACATTTTAATGTATTAATAAAAGATTCAGTAGTTTCTACTGTAGTAATGGCATAATTAATCAAGCAATTCATTTGAATTTCATTCTTTCAATTATTTATTACAGATTAAATTTCCAAGATCATAACAAACATTCCAATTTTCTGTGTAAACTAATACATTTAAAGGCACAATAGCCAATATTCAATTCTTTCTGATTTATGTGTATGAATTCTTAATGTACTTTCTGAAACAGGGGGTCTTGCTCTATTAGGATTCCATCTTATTCCGTCCATGTACCGGTAGTAGAAGTTTCATTTGGCAATAATTCTAAATGATAGTTTTATTTGCTGTATGTTATGTTTTTGTTGTTAAATTTAGCATTCCATTTCCAATAAATTCCGTCCAAGTTTCAGTACAGATTTATAATGCCACCATACTTTATATAAATTCCAAATTTTCATAGTAAGATATGTGTTTATTCTTTTAATTTATAATACAATATTTTTGCCACTCCATATTGCTTGGTTTTAATTTGACTTATATATTAATTTATATAAATGCCCTTAAAGATGCATTATGTAAGATTTAGATAAAGAGATGATAGTATTCACTATAATAGTTTTAAAAAAAATAGATAAGGAAAAGGAAATTTAAAAATTTCAGTCAAGTTACTTCATTCTGAAAGTAGTTATGGCCATTTGAAGAACAGTGTAGTCTCAATTGTCATTTCTAACATTGCTACAATAATAATTATACCCATTTTTTAATCAAATTATTTACTGCCAATTGTGTTTAAATCTGTGGATTTAGCTCTTGCATAAAGCATCTTTAAGAAATATTAGCTATTTAAACATGGCTCGGCTACAGCTCGGATTTAAATAGGATTTCACTAATTGATTAAATCAGATAAGGGGTAACCTGATGAAAATACGTCAGTTAGATCGAGGCTAAATGATAGAGTGTACTTAGCGAGGCCGCTGTAAAGCGTTTCCGTATGCCATTGAAAACTTTACTTGATAATTGAGATATGTAGGTGGAGTTAACGCCTGTCAATCAAACGTTCGGCGAAGGTGAAGACACATTTTGCTACCATTTCTAGGCAAATATTACAACGATTATAACTATGTTCAGAATAAAGTAATTTGACTGAATTTTTCAATATATTCTTCTTTCATCATCTACTTTTGAACTGTTATAGCAAGAATGGCCAACTCTCTATAAATATCTCCCATAATGTATCTTTAATATAATGAATATGAATGATCCTGAATATAAAACTATTTACTGTAATCTACATTTCAGTTATAGTTAATTTTCATGTACTTCGTCTGTTCTGTTGTGTTGTGTTGTTTTCATTATTGCAAGTTAATCAAATACTGCTGAAATTATCTACTTTACACAATTATTTTGTTGACATAAATTAAATGAATGAATTTGTTGTGTTGGTTTTTATGCACCCACTATTTAAAGTACCATTTCCACAATAATAAACAAAGTCTCGATTGTCAGTCCTTTAATTTTGAATGATTTTGACATCATTTCTGTTTTGCCAGCCATATAACATTTGAAGCCAGTGCAAAGGCCTGAAAATAAGCAAATTAGTTCTCACATAATGCCTGTATGGAATTAAAGGAAATAATTAAAATTTGATTGGCTTCTAGTTCTTTTTGATGCTAACAATTATTATACAAAACATAATACCTGTAATCAGCTAAAAACATTGTGCTGTGTATCAATTTCAAATCAATCAGAAAAAAATTTGGGTTTACAAGATTTTTAAAAGTGATCAAGAGCAATATCTCGTGAACATAAATATGGTGTATAAATACATTCGAATGATAACGTTATCATTATATACACAGGTTTGAAACTTGTCAAGGGCAATAAATCTTGAGGCAATTATTGGAAAATGTTGAAAATTCATATGCTTCCTCGGCAGGTAAGAATAACAACTGTGAATACATTTTAGGTCAATGAGAATGCAAATTTAAAATTAGTCAAGGGCCATAATTTGGGCAGTCTAAACATTAATCCATAAGACTCTTCTTCTCATTAACCTTAAACACTGTATAAATTTAAAGTCAGTCGGATCTTCGATTTGAAAAATACAGCACACATGGAATACAATCATTGAGTTGTACATGTAACATGTGTTATTGTATCGTTTTCAAGTATCAAACTTTATGCCGGTTCTTTTTGACTGCCATATAGTAGAATATGTAGCAGAGAGACTTGTACTGTTTTAGCCACAAACTTGTGTCGCAAAACACATCCACCATTTATCATGAATATAAAAGACTGTAGTTAAAATACAAAAAAAAAAAAAAAAATCAAAATCACAGATCATGGAAAAACTAGGTTGTCTATTAACAAACGATCCAAAAGGATAAAACTGGTCTAACTGCTTTGATTGCCTACATAGGCTATTTAACTTGCTATTTTCTCCTGAAAGATATCTAAAATTATCATTAATTATCAAAACAATACTAAGTATAATCTGTTGACGACTTTGTATACAACACCAGGGGGATCACGTGGCTAAGTGGGTAAGACGCTGGCTCGCTAGTCTGGAGGTCGGGTGTTCGATCCCTGCATTGGCCGAGAAAGTTCATCCTGATTTTCCGACGTGGTTCCCCCTTGTCAGTGATGCAGGAGAGGGCCTGACAAGGACAGCTGTCTAGTCCTTCGGATGAGACGAAAAACCAAGGTCCCGTGTATACATTGGAATGCACGTAAAAGATCCCTTGGCAGTTGGAATTCGTATAAGAGTAGGCGATAGTGCCGCCACCCAGGCAAAATTTCCCTCATAGCACACTGTATGGCGTATGCCCATCTTCATTAGCCCAGCATAGGAGCAGGAACAGTAGGACGTTAAACCCCATTTCAGTTCATTTCATTTTTATAACACCAATCATGAGATTATGTGGCTTCTATACGTGCGAATTATTCTGCACTGGCCGTACAAGTTTATAGTGGAGGTCAATCGTAGCCATGTTTGAAAATTGGGTTTTGAAAAAAAAAAGCTATTTATTCCGGCATGCAAAATGACTGATGGGTCACATCTAGTTACGGTCATTTTCCATAGCCCTCGGTCCCGACCAGCATACGGCCAATGGAACCCATGGTGTGAAGGATATATTATCCAAATTTGCAAAGCGGGTCATATTTTTAACCCTGAATTTCTGATTCTGGAGAGGCATAGCTAGACTAAGACCAGACAATAAATTTTGGGGGAACAACACAACATTTTAGTGAAAATAGCAAAGAGTGGACGATATTTTTCTCTTAAAATGATTTAACCTTTTTATGTCGAAATTGTCAACGTCGTCAACTTCGTCTTAATAATGTCATTATTATGACTTGGACACTAAAGGGTTAAAATAAAATAGAGTTATTTCCCTTAACCGGTTAGAGGTCGCGTCGGGCTAGCGGTAAACGAAGAATTAACGAATGGTTGCATGAAGAAAGATTTTTAGAGTCAACTTATCTGGTTAAAATCGTTGAAAATCGCCTACCATCTTCACAGCAAAAATGGTAAGATTAATTGGACGTGTTAATCACCTGATAGTATATTTAATATCCCCAGTATTTTTTTCTCTATTTACGGTTATTCCAAGTACAAATGCTTTGTTTACATCGTTTTGAATGACTATAAAACGTTACTTTACCGGTACATGTAAAAGATATTATGATAACCACAAAGAAAATGTATTGAGATTTTAATTGAACCACGTAAATGGTATAGAATTGAAACCTCTCAATAAATAATTGCCATGACATGGTTTTTGAGATTTACTAAAACTAAAACTACAATTCATAATTCCGCCCATTTTCTTGCCTAGAAATCAAAATGAAGAAAACCAGGGTCATGATAATATTACGTTCATATAGCCAGGCTGCCATATCCAATTCTTATTATTAAATCTCGAAATATATCAATAATTGTGTCCTTTATCATCCCTGGGAGCCACGGTTGGTCGGTGGGTAAGACTTTGGCTTACTAAACCATCCTGGACGTTCCGCATTCGATCATCTGTGTTGACAGGAAGTTCATAGTGGAGGGCCTGACGTGGGAAAATGTATTCATTTACATGGGATGAAAAACTGAGGTCCTGTGTACACATTTACGTGCACGGGAAAGAAGCCTTGCTCAACGGTAATTCAATATGATATAGGGCATAGCAGTTAGCACACTGTATGGCGTATGCCTGTCTTTATTGGCCCTGTATGGTTATGCATGTACAGAACAGGGTAGCACGACATTTTGGTTCAGCGTCATTTTGGGACTCAACACAGACAACCTTTCGGACGATGGTTCAGACTTACTTGATGACTTTTCAGACTCGGTCTGGCAACGTTTCTGACTCGGATTGATAATTAAAAGACAGTTGAAATTTTGTGTGATATATTATTACTGTTTTTTTTTGTTTTTTATGCGAGACTGTTTTATTTACTTGATCGGGGATTGTTGAGACCACTAATACAAGATTAACCATGCTTGTTCTATTTTGTTTTGTTTTTCTTTTATCAAACGGTAAACGAAAAAACGAACTTGATTGACCGATCACTGCTATTGTTTTTATAATTTTGAAAGCCGAAATGTGTGTTACGTGAAAAGGAATAATTGCAATCTACACACAGCCACATTATCAATGATTAACAACTCACGTTTTTCCTTGTCCAACAAAGAAACATTTAAAGGTTTCTTTATTCTTTGCACATACTACAATAACTAGGGTGCCACATGTGGCCAAAATTTTCCCTAATGACAGGTGAACTGATACGGCGAATGTTCACGCTTCAGTGGCTTGTCTCAAAGTGATTTCTGGCTAGTCACGCAGTGCGATAACACTCGGCACAACTCCGCACAAGAGTATAAATATAGCCATCGCATGTGAAATTCTCTACATCTATCAACTATTACAGCCGTAAAAAATCTATTATTGATGATTCTGAATAGCAGTAATATTTAGCTTTTTGGTTATTACAGCAGCTTTAGAAATTACGTTTGTTTTATTTTTTAAATTGCTTTATCATTATCTGTACCGTTAGAGGAGCTGTATCTTTTGGTTTAGTACAGATAATATATCTGAAGCCCTCGGGTTAAGTAAGAACTTGATACATTGTAATAGCAGTAAGGTTCTTAAAACAATTGTTGAGTTGCCTAACGGGCATGTTTCTAAATTCAATTTCTTGTTCCAGCTTTCTGTTATGTTTCAAAAGTGCCTGGATGTTATGGCCGACATCATTTTTCAGTCTGTTATTTATTGATGATTAAATGGCCATCGCTTATTAAGTACAACATGACAGTTTATTTAGTGACTATAAATATAAATATTGTGGCGTAATTGTCAAGATATTTATTTATGCTGGGGCACCCAACAATAACATCAGGATTATTGGTTAATCAGCTATAATTACCGCTTGTACGTGACAACCTTATGGGCCTTTTCTGGTTACCCCCCACAGCTAAAGACCCCTATGTGCAAGAGAAGTATTGAAAAAAAAAATGAACCAGAAATGCCTAGCACAGGTTGCGTTGAGTGGACGTTGAACCCCATTTCTCTATTTTAAATTTATATGACCTTTAGATCATGAGGTCAAGTTACATGGTTTCGATTCCCAGCTTGTTTGTAACAAGGAGTAGGATCGTCTTGTGTTTTCTTCAGGTTCTCCAATTTCCTCCCTCTACTAAAAAAAAATCCTAAGCACAAGTGAATAATTGAAATAAAATTCAAAAATATTAGTCCCAAAATGATTTGGTTTGTTTCGATTGGGCATTCAATTCCATTTCTCTATCTACATGTAGAAGACAACAGGGGTAACAAAAAATAGTATTATTACCATAATAGGTGTTATTAAGTACAAAGGAAAGCAAATAGCATTTCAATGTTGAATTGTTTCAAGCTGAAACTGATATGGCTACCTGTTGTAACAAACTTTAATATTTGTAGCTATGACCATTAATACTAGTCCCAGAGAAGTAGAGGGGTTGGGATGGCCTAGCTAGCTGGTCACCTCCGACTTGCTGTCATGCTTTTGATCCCTAGTGTGGGTGCCTTCTCAAACTCATGGGTTTACTCCGGATTCCTCCCACAGGATAAAAAATATAAGACAACCTGTCTGCGATATCACCAGTGGTGGAAGCTGACATAAATACTAATACAAGAAAACTAGTCTGGGACCTTATAAGCTTTGTCTGTCATATTGAAAGAAAGAAAGCTTTTGATTTTCATTCATTCAATTAAGATAACTTACATAATTATGCCCCTTTATTATGTATGTCATTCACATTATGTGTCTGTACACTAGGGGCCATCAGTTTTATTATCCAAAAGGCTTATGCATAGGAGCCAATGCAACTGTGTTATAAGCCCACAATTTAGTGTGGGTGTACTTTCTGTTAGAATTGCCCTGATATAATGTCACTCTGTTACTGCAAGTCTGTATATTACATTTTTCAGTCTGTTACCAAGAGCTTGGGGGAGAAATTTAAGCGACATGCCCTTATTCTTTATATATATATATATATATATATATAATTGATGTGTTGAATTCAGAGGATATTCACATTTTTATTGGATTTGACAAAAAATAAATTACTGAAGAAATTATTTTGAATATTTAGTAACAGACTTGCGTCAACATTAGATTTTCTACTTGAAATTTTGGTTTATTAACAGCATTCTGATTTTAATTGACAGGAAAATCATTATAAAACACAATTTCATTAATATTTTACATAGTAAATTTAGAAATATGGTAAACTGAGACATTAAAGCGAAATGGTGAAAATGGAAGTGTCTGACTGGGATGTCAGTTATATGTAAATATGCTCAGCCTGACTATAAAGAACAGGATTAACTAAAATATGACATTTATATTTAAAAAGTAGACAAAATAAGCTTTCTTTTGGTACCTAAAACATTGGTGTAGCTTAATATTTCAATAATTACCACTTTGATTTACATGTAGGTTGACATTTTCACAGAATTGCCCTGCTATCTATGGCAATCTAGTCATGGAATGCATGTCAACGTGCAGCTTACGGATGTTAAAAATTTCGAGGGACTTGTAAAAACAGTGCCTGTCATGTAAATATTTACTTTTGTTTTTGTGTAGGTCATTTTGAAATAACTTCAACAGCATATTATTCCTTTTTTATACGCCCACATGGATGCATTATTTAAATTAGTGAAATGAAGAAGCCTGTTGAATTTCAGCAATTTCTGTATTACGTCTAGAGTTATGGCCCTCGTTTCACTTTATTGAACTTTGTGAACGCTCTAACATCAAAAGTTATCTGCCGATCCGTATGAAATTTACATTTAAATTAGTAAGGAGAAGAATCCTATTGAATTTCAGCAATTTCCGTTTATTACTTCTAGAGTTATTGCCCTTTTTCACTTTGTTCAACCTTGTTAATGCTCATTGATGAAAGTTATCATCCGATATGTATGAAATTTATATGCAACAATTTCTGTAGATTACTTCCCGAGTTGAGACCCTTGATTTCAATTTGTAGAACCTTGTGAACCCTCAAACGGCAAAAATTATAATCTGATCAGTATGGAACTGTCTTGTAAAGGCCCCCAATTACCTACAAAGGAATAAATATGCGACAACCCTTGTCGACTGCTCGGACGACTTAGCTGCTGTGGGCGTATGTTTCGTTGCCTGGCAACCTATCTTAAAAGGGAAATGATGATTATCAAAGAACTGTGAAAGGCAGCTAATGTTTTATCGTTTGGTGGAGCCTTTTAATAGTTTCATGTTAATATTTTCTTTTGTGTTTTGAATTGGGCCTTTGGCTTATTTCTAATAAATTAGTCTGCTACATTTTTACATATTACAGATACAAAGAAATAAAACATTCTTTTCATTTGGAAATTTTGCCATTCCTTAAGGGGTCTATACGGTGCGTGATCCACGACTCCACGTGATGTACTTGATGGCGCGCGGTAAATTCTAAATTGTTCACACACTAAAACTAACATCCCCAACACAGCCATTATTCAGTGATACAAGTGCCCTTGTTTTGAAATTAGTCATGCTAAATTGTTCAGTAATTTGGATGTCCTACGGAGACCAGAGTCAAATTTACTTTCATTTAAAGTTGGTAGAATAGCTTTCTGTAATGTTTTGTCTTGTTTAGCGCTACTAATTTCAAATCATTGGCACATGACCTATTGCACTATAAAAAAAAATGACTGGATGTGGTGTCCAAATGTTGTTTACAATTTCAGTATATTATTTAACTGCACTTTAAATTGTTATAACTTGTTAAAGACTATTTAAAAATTTATAGAATCCTTACCATAAAGGAAAGGTTGTGATTATGTATAAAGTGAAATGTTCCTATAAGAATAATCCAGTAAATTGCCATAACAAATCTATGATTTATTAAATCATTTCAGACAGTGGGAAGGAGTTCCAAGATGCTCCAGCATATCAACTTCAGGATGCGTTGTATGCTTCATGACAGTAGAACTTTCATTGGTACATTTAAAGCTTTTGATAAACATATGAATATTATCTTGGGAGACTGTGATGAGTTCCGTAAGATAAAACCTAAGAGTAATAAACAAGGTGAACGAGAAGAGAAAAGAGTTTTAGGTCTAGTATTACTCCGTGGAGAACATCTAGTATCCATGACGGTGGAAGGACCTCCACCAGCGGAGGTAAGTTTTTTATTTATTCTGAAAATCTTAAAATAAAAGGAAGATTATCAAATCAGTCATATTCGTATTGAAATGTATCACTCTTGCATTCAAACCTGGAAGTGAGGCATCTGCCAAATAGGCCTTCAGCCAAAATTCCTAGCTTGGTTAAAACACAATTCCGCTACAAAGTCCTCCCAAACGAACTATACATTTGTGGAAAGCTTATGACACCAGGAACACAAATCTAGAGAGTTCCAAGCAAAATGTTTGCAATAACTCGATTTAGGGCCAGACGAAATGCTATATTTATACTAATAATTGGGAAGGTGTCATATAAAATTAATTATTGGCAACAACACTAGACTGACCGTAGTTTTGTAAATCGCATTGAAACCACATTAAAATATAAACCCACACCCACATACCGTCCCTTTCAATTAGACTCTACATTATTTTTGCTACAGGTACATGTAGCTGCAATCCTCTAGTTTAGATATTTAAGGTCAAATAAAAAATATATAAACTGAAACTGAAACCGTATCTACATGTATAACTGGGTAATTTGCTAACAAATATGGATATAACTTATAAGTATAAGGAGATAGGTTTGACATTTTTTGAACAATATGGTTATGAAGTAATGGAGACCAGACTCTGTCGGTATAGGGGAAATTCGGTCCAAACAGCGACGTGGTCTACTCTTTATTTCGAATTCTTAGTTCGTTTACGTGCACGCCAACGTATCCACAGGAACTCAGTTTTATATTCCATCTGAATAACTAGATGCTGGAACTTTCGGGTACTGTCTAGGTCAACATGTTTGATCAAACCTCCTTATTATAAGCCACAGACAAGGAAAAACCAAGTCGGACCAGGATCAAACCCTGGACTACCCGGTAAGTGAGCCAGTCCCTTGCACACTGATTGCACTTGCATGGAAAGCAGGAATACTAGCTATACACCTACATGTGTATATAGGTCCATGTCTGTAGTTAAATCCTATTCAGTTTATCAAATAAATTCTTTAAACAAAATATTGTCAATAATTATTGATATTTTCCATAAAGGGAGATAACCCCTTTTATCGTAAATGGATTTCCAAAATTCTATATCTTCCTGTGTGCATTATGTTTTCTACATTTTGCTTTAAATCAAAATTTAACCAATAGCAAGCATATTCATTACACAGGATGAAGGCATTGGGTGTTTTCGCCAATATTTAATTTTATGTCAACTTCACAATTTTTAGTATAATTATAGCATTTGCTTGATAATTATCGCAATTTTCATATGGCCCTAAATCGAGTTGTTGCAAACATTTTGCTTGGAGCTCTCTGGATTTTCCAAAAATGTATAGTTTGTTAGTAGGGAGGATCTTGTAGAAATTTTGACTGCAGGCCTAACAGTCATTTCAAAAATCAAGATTTTTCAGACATCTCACCTGATGTCTGGCACTGATCTGTCTTTTTTTCTTTTTTTTTTCTTTTTGTTTTTGGGTTGTTTTTTTTTTGGGGGGGGGGGGGTCCCCATTAATTTTTTTTTTCATTAATACTGTATATGTCAGGTTCAAACAATGAGGTACATTTATTAGTTTCAGACCTTTTTCTGCCTGCTTTCATTTAAAACAGATACAATGTAACCCCTCAAATTTATGTACAGAGACATATTTGGCAATGAGTATGATGCTACAATAGAGCAGGTTTTAAGTGTATGTACGATATATATATGTTTATTGTTTAATGTTATAGGAAAATGGGACCACGGTGGCTAAGTGGGTAAGGCGCTGGCTCGCTAACCCGGAGGTCGGGTGTTTTATCCCTGCATTGGCCAAGAAAGTTCATCCAGATTTTCCGGCGTGGTTCCCCCTTTATAGTAATACAGGCCGGACAAGGACAGAGCAGCTGTCTAGTCGTTCTGATATGCCGAAAAACCGAGGTCCCGTGTACACATTGGCGTGCACGTAAAAGATCCCTTGGCAGTTGGAATTCGATATAAGAGTAGGCCGTAGTGCCGCTGCCCGGGCAAAATTTCCTGCATAGCCCACTGTATGGCGTATGCCCATCTTCATTAGCCCAGTTCGGAGCAGAACAGTAGGACGTTAAACCCCATTTCATATCATTTCATTTATAGGAAAGTATGGCAAGGGTACCATTAGCTGGTATGGGACCAGGCGGACCTGGTATGGGAAGAGCTGCTGGACGTGGTGTTGGAGGCCCATCTGCAGGAGGTGCTGCACCAGGGCTTCAAGGACCTGTTAGAGGTATTGGAGGTCCATCACAACAAATGATGACACCACAAGGTAAATAAATCAATTCATCAGGACATCAGTTAAATTAAGCAAATAGAATATGATTAAATTTTTCAAATTCAGTGACTTCAGCCTGTTGAGGACTTGAGTTCAGTCTAATCAAAACATCATTCAATAATAAACAGTAATTGTAATAATGTAGAATTGTTCTGGGTATGATCCGTTATCAGGCTATTGCCTGTCAAATAGGTTACAATTGAATCATAGGTAAACTTACATAATAATATGCATGCTATTCTGTATAGGCCCAATGCTCTAATCATTGTCTTGTTGGCTCTTACTACATATTTGTACACAAAATAACCAATAACTGGTTTTACTCTAGCTGGCACTAAGTTTTACAACTTGATGTTGTTCAGACTATTAGTATTACAGATAAGCTGGCTTGTCTTAAGAAAAAATTTAAATAAATATATTAGAATTATTTTGAATAATTATATTTGATTTATTCACAGGACGAGGACCCCCTGGTATGAATCCTGGCATGAGACCACCACCAAATATGGGCAGAGGAGGTCCACCTGGAATGAGAGGACCCCCACCAGGAATGATGAGAGGCAAGTATTTCTTCTAAGACTTAATAAAGGCCATACTAGAAAAAATAAATCGCCATTGGAGTATTGACAGATCTTGATAATCAATTGTTATTATTGTCCCCCGCCTTTCGAAGAAAGCAGGGGACTATTAAAATGGGTTCGTCTGTCTGTCCGTCACACTTTTTGGGACACAATAACTCTCCTTCTAAATGACCTAGCATGTTCAAACTTGGTGTAGGTGTTTATTAGGTCAATGCCTTGATGGAGTTCGAAGATGAGCATTTTCGGCTTAGGGTAAGCAGAGATAAGCAATTTGATTGGTTGATGCTTTGGGACACGATAACTTTAGTTCTAATTACGTGAGAGTGATGAAACTTGGTGTATAGTTTCATTACATCAATACCTTGACTAAGTTCGACAATGAGCATTTTCTGCTCAGAGTAAGCAGAGCGATAAGCAATTTTATTGGCCGAGACTTTGGAACACAATAACTCTCCTTCTAATTGAGCTAGAATGTTCAAACTTGGTGTAGGTGTTTATTAGGTCAATGCCTTGATGGAGTGTGAAGATGAGCATTTTCTGCTTAGGGTAAGCAGAGATAAGCAATTTGATTGGTTGATACTTTGGGACTCGATAACTTTAGTTCTAATTAAGTGAGAGTGATGAATCCTGGTGTATAGTTTCATTACATCAATACCCTGACTAAGTTCGATGATGAGAATTTTCAGCTTAGGCTAAGGAGCAATAAGCATTTTGATTGGTTAAGACTTTGGTACATAACAACTCTTCTTCTAATTGAGGTAGAATGTTTAAACTTGATGTAGATGTTCATCTTGACTTAGTTCAATGATTAACATATCGAGCTAAAGCTAAGAAGAGATAAGCAATTTCCTTGGTCGATGCTTTGGGACAAGATAGCTTTGATTCTATCTGATAGAGAGTGATGAAACTTAGTGTATAGTTTATAATCAGTTTGATTGCTGGATACTTTTGAAAAAAATAGATGTGCGATTAATATATGTGTCATCTATTTATTTGGGGATTTCGGCGGGGGACATCAGCCTCACTGTTGGCTTGTTAATAATTTGATTATCACTGAGAATGATAGTAAACTTTGCAACGAGTGATATTTTTTTTTATACGCCCACTAAATATATCACTGTTTCACCATAAGGATAAAGGAAGGTTGAGTTCAAATTTCGGGAAAATCGAAACGAAGCTGCCCGACAAAATGGTCACTCCTTGTACGCAAATAGTGTAAAAGTATGTTATACGAAGGTTGTTGATCCTCTAAAGGTCACAATTTTTGTCGGATTTTGATGAAACTTAAAGATATATTTATATCCCAAAAATCTCTGTTCCTTTCGATATTCACGCATACATGTATATCACTGTTACACCATAAGGAAGGTTGAGTTCAAATTTCGGGAAAATCGAATCGAAAATGCCCGACAAAATGGTCGCTCCTTGTACGCAAATAGTGTAAAAGTATATAATACCAAGGTTGTGGATCCTCTAGAGATAACAATTTTTGTTGGATTTTGACGAAACTTAAAAATATATTTATATCCCAAAAATATCAGTTCCTTTCGATATTCGCACATTTCAGACCATAACCTCCAGGATTATGGCCCTTGAATTGTGCTAAAAATTGCAGGGTTTTTTTTTTTTAAAATCTTGTTCTCTTGCAAAATGTGGGCGTATATTGCTTGGCAACGGCTGGTTCAAACTAAAAATGATTGTAAACTTAGCAAAAAAGTATTAATTAATCATTTTGTACTGACAGTGTACATCATATATTATGTGAAATTATTTTCCTTGGCTTACTATACTAACCGGGTTTTAAGCCAGGAGTTCCTCAGGATTTTATCATCCAGGTTTCCCCATGTCAGTAGTGCAGGACAGAAAGCATGGCAAGGGACAGCGTCTTAGTAGTTGAGATGGGACGAAAAGATGAGGTCCTACACATTGACATAAAAGAATCATGGACTATTTGAATTTGAGGAATTATAGGTGGAAATGTCGCTGTACAGACAAAAATTCTCTCATACATGTAGCAGGGGGTTGGATGGCCGAATGGTTAGCGCATTGTATCATAGCTCTGTCATTGAGTCAACTGGCGTGGTTTCGATTCCCCGGTTGTACGTGACAAAGAGTTGGGTTGCCTTCCAACCTCGTGTTTTCTCCGGGTCCTCCACTTTCCTCCCACTGCTAAAGATATTGAAATAAAATTGAACCATATTTTAGTCCAGAAATGACCTAGTTTGTGTGGAGTGAATGTTTAACCCCCTCCCCCCCTCTCTCTCTCTCATGTAGCACACTAGATGACTTGTGCTTGGCTTCATTAGCCAGGGGGATCACATGGCTACGTGGGTAAGACACTGGCTCACTAGCCTGGAGGCCGGGTGTTCGATCCCTACATTGGCTGAGAAAGTCCAGATTTTCCAGTGTGGTTTCCCCTTGTCAGTGATGCAGGACGGAGGGCCTGACAAGGACAGCTGTCTAGTCTTTCAGATGAGATGAAAAACCGAGGTCCCGTTTATATATTGGAATGCACGTAAAAGACCCCCTGACAGTTGGAATTCGATATAAGAGTAGGCGATAGTGCCACTCCCCAGGCAAAATTTCCATCTATAGCACACAATACAGGGCTTGCCACGAGACGCGAGCAATTGCTCGCGCTGTGCTCGCGTAAATCTACTTTTACGCGAGCGGTTCATTGCTCGCGCAAAATTTTAAGAAAACCCTGTAAAAATAATCAAAATATTGACAAGTTTATTGCCGAAACTAACCCAACAATGTCAATAACGTCATAAATTCGTCTGTCAAACTGAGATTCACCCAGCTGCACGCGGCATTTCCTCCTGAAATTTGATTGGCTAATAAAGTTACTCGCAACTTGTGTTACTAAAAATACACTTTAGACCTGAACCTCATGACTGGTTTTCCTACGAACACCAGTAACAAACACGTGATAATTGAGTCAAAAGTAAAGAATGTTTACATCCGGCATTTGGCATTCACGCTAAATGAACACGTTTCAAACTAATATTTATCGGTATTTCCTATTTTATCAGAACTTCGGTTTTTATTCCATTGTGCAGTCGTATAATTTTCAATCTAAGCGTAATAATGGCCAAAGGCAACCTGATTGCCCTATCCACATTTATTTCATGGGGTGAAGAAATCCATACGGAAATTGGTTTTAATAAAGAAGAGTACGTATGACTGTCAAAAACAGAAAGCGATGGTCACACATGTTTACTGCAAACTTTGTGCCAGGAATAGCAATTTTCTTATGATTTTAAATTGAAACAATGTTACAAAATGTGTGCTCACGCAAACAACATTTTGCATGAGCAATTTTTATTGCTCGCCTTGCTCGCCCAAACCTAAATTTGCGTGAGCAGTCATCTGCTCGCCATCAATTTATTCGTGGCCAGCCCTGCAATATGGCGTATGTCTGTCTTCATTAGCCCAGTATAGGAGCAGAACAGTAGGACGTTAAATCCCATTTCATTTCATTAGCCAGGTTAGCGAAGAAATACATGTAGGAGATAAAGACAACAAAAAAATACTTATAGTACCTTGTCAAGAACCAGAAATTCCAAGTTAAAATCTAACCCAAATCATCAAAACTTGTAATTAAATTTATAGTCATGGAAAATATTCATAATGGAAAGGTTAAAGCTACTGTCAAAATCTTGAATTGTTCTCAAAATTTTCATCTAATCCCCCTGTGTGTTGGTTTGTGGGTATAGCAACCAATATTCTCAGTGATATCATGAAGCAGAATCGTCCTGACCATATATCATGACAAGTTGATTTTTTTATTCTTTATGATGATATAAAATTGTTTTGAATACATTGTGTAGAAATTTTTTGAGAAATTGTCAAATTCAAGGGGCATAACTCTTAGCGGTATGGGTCTACCCACTTTGACTTTCATAGTACAGAACAAGCTTGTCTCGATATTCTTGTATCTGAATTAGTAGTTGAGTATAATTCATGATCACTCAGTAAATATTCTTGAACATTTTAAGGTTGATTGTTTTATCTCTACAATTCTTTGATGCATATATTCTTATAGGACCAGGGGAGCAGCAGTGGCTTATGGACTAAGACATTGGCACGCTAAGTTTGAGGTCCCATTGTTGGTCAAGGCAGTTCATCTGTGTAGAAGTTTGCATGGGATAAAAACAAGGTCCTGTAAACACATTATAGTGCACGTAAAAAGACCCTTGGCAGTTTGAATTCTTATAGAATTCAAAATTTAATTGTATAGAGAGTGTCACGTAACAAATCAAAATAACGCATCAGATTAACTATTTTATTATACCCAGACATTTATCAGAATGATTAATTTTATCAAAATGCCACTGCAAAAATGTTGGCCATTGCTGTCAAGAGAATGTGTGCTTCAGATTGTCTCAAATTGCCTCAATGGAGTTTGAAGATGAACAATTTGATTGGTCGAGACTTTGGAACGTAACAACTCTGCTTTTAATTGAGGTAGAAGGATTAAACTTGATGTTGATGTTCATTAGGTGAATGTCTTGACCCAGTTCAATAATTAACATTTCCCACTAAAGCTAAGCCGAGGTAAGAAATTTTATTGGTCGATGCTTTGGGACAAGATAACTTTGATTCTAACTGATGGAGAGTGATGAAATTTAGTGTATAGTTCCACTACCAGGTACTTTAAAGCCTTGACTGAGTTTGATCGTGAACATTTTATACATAGACTAAGTATAGATGATCAGTTTGATTGCTCAATACCTTTGAAAAAGATAAATGTCGATTAATCAATGTCATCTGTTTATTTTGGGATTTCGGCGCGGTACATCAGCCTCACTGTTGGCTTGTTTTCCTTTCGGATGAGCTGCTGTCTTTAGCTTTTTATTTTTTTGACACTTGGCTGCTGTGCGGGCGTATTTCCCTGCGGCTATTGTTTACAAGTTGTTTGCTAAGTTATTTGTCCAATAAAATTTTGAACAGATGTTGATTCCGACACACAGGGC